GGATTTTCTAAAGATACCAGTGGAGAGAGAGGAAAAAAAGACCCTGCCATTATATTAATAGTATTCGAGATGCAAATTTGTGCAATTTGGCCAGAATAGGCATGCTCTCATCTGCCCTAGCTCCTTCAGTTTGTACCTGTTTATTAGGAAAACTAGGTTTAGCCCTCCCCACTCTGTGTGGGAGAGGCCGTCCTGTGTTTAGGAAAATTGGATAATTGAATAAACTTAATTTCCCCAAATGTATTGAAAATTACTTTCTTTTTAGTTTGGAATTATCCTTCTTGCTTGTGCCTTCAAAGGAAGGAAACAGATTTTTTCTTTCCCATTGCTATATGTGACAGGCTTTGTGCTAGATGTTCTGTACATAATTTAATCTTCTCAAGAAGATATGAGTCAGGTGGGTATTATTTACATCTTACACATGAGGAAATGGAGGCTCTGAAAGGCTCAGAAAATTGTCTAGGGTGACAGACTCAGTTGGTAATTGGAGCAATGGGGATATAGCTGAGGTCTGGTTTTAGAGACAGATGGGTTTATAAATTTGCCATTCTCAGGGAGGGAGTATTTATACCACCAACATGGCCTCCACTCTCCGTAAAGTAGACACAAATTGTTTTCTCTGTGGTCTTTGGTTCCTGAAGGAACCAATAACCCTAGAGCCCAGGCTGGAACACTGGTATCCTGTTGAAGGGAGCATCACTAAATCCCAGAGTCACCACAAGGAGACCAGAGAGACTTCCAGTTGAGTTCCAGAGGGAAGTTCCAGAGGAGAGTGTTTACATCCAGGTCTGGCCACCTACGTGCTGTGGGGCCTTGCATAAGTCACCTGACCCTTCTCAGTATCTGGAATGGGGTCAGCATGACCTGGAAGCCGATGCTGGCATGATGGCTTAATGAGGTAATGTGTGACAATACCTTCTGAGGTACCTTGTACTTGGAAGGTGCTCGATGTACTTGAGTTCCTGTCCCTCTTCCTCTCCCAAGTTAGCAGTTCCGTTATGACATCTTCAATAAGGTTGTAGGTGGAGACTCTGTTCGGTGCCCATAAGGTAGCATTTTGTGTGGTGTTATTTTAGAACGACATTAGGTTGACTGACGGCAGTCTTCCAGCCTGAAATTGGCTTTGGCATTTGTGCTCTTGCAGATCTTTTCTGCTGCCATATGACATGCAGATTTGGATCCAAGAATAAAGATTGGTGGAGACTGAGGACCAAACAAATAACTGTTATTTTCCAGCCCTTTTTAATGACGCATCCAGCTCCTACCAGTGGTCCCTTTCCCCATCTCAAACTATTCTTGTCCTTGGACTCATTCTCCCCACTTCCACCCTGGACTTTCAGGCAGAAAGTATCTTGGCTTTTCTCAACTGAGCACTGAGTCCTGGAGTCTGAAGAGCTAGTTTAAGATCTGACTCTGTAACCTTACTGTGTGACATTGGAGTAGTGACTTGACATCTCTGTTTCTTCTTCTGGAAAATTGGGATGATATCTTCTGTTAGCCTGTGAGCTCTGGAAATGCAGAGCTTACTGAGAATTCTGTGAGAATGTGCATTTTGCATCCTACCATGCCAAGTAGGGCTCCTGACTCTTTTTGAGAGACCTTGATGACTTTCTCATTCCTGGATCCCAACTATTTCTGTTTCCCTCCTCTGCTTTTTTTCTTTTTGGGTAAATAATTGCTTTATTGAGATATAATTCATGTAATGCAATTCATCCACTTAAATTGTATAATTCAGTGGTTTTTAGTGTATTCTCAAGAGTGTGAACTTTGACCACAATCAATTTTAGAAGATTTTCATCACCCCAAAAAGAAACTCTATACCCATTAGTGGTCATTCCCCATTTTCCTCCACCTCCCCCTTCACCCAACCCTAAGTGACTGTTTCAGTTACCTAGTGCCACTCTGACAGGAATATACCACAAATGGGAGGATGGCTTTAACAAACAGAAGTTTATTCTCTTACAGTTTGTAGTCTAGGAGTCTGAGTTCTGAAGTGCCAGGCTCTAGGGGCTGGGTGAAAGCCCTTTGACCTTGACTTGCCTCTGGCTCCTGGCCCACTGAAGCTGGAGGCTTTTCTTTACTCAGGCAGCTGCTGGCTGCTGAAGCTGACAAATCCAAGGTTGACCAGTAAAAAGGCACAGTCCCAATGTTACCAAACCACACAGCAGGCCATTAATTCAAGTCCGTTGAAAGTCCTAAGATCGGCAGAGCATGGCAGGCTACTGAAATACCACTTGGCTACATGCAGGGTTCAAGTGTGCCAAAAAGCTAGAGACTGTTCCCAAGGCTTCTCCTTACATATAGGAAGTGGACCATATCCCTGCAACAGCTACTCAGCTGCTCACAGTAAATCCCACCATGGAGTTGATTACCAGTCTCATCACGGGGAATACTACCCAGCTGTGTAGCCACTCAGCCAGGCCCAGCCAAGTTGACACACAACCCTAGCTACCACAGTGACCAATAGTTTACTTTCTGTCTCTATAGAGACACCTTTTCTAGACATTTCATCTACATGGGTTCATACAGTGTGTCATCCTTTATAAGTGGCTTCTTTCTTCAGCATAATATTTTCAAGGTTCATTCACGTGGTAGCATGTATTGATACTTCATTTCTTTTTATTGCTGAATAATACTCCATTGAATAGATATGGTGCATTTTATTTATCAAGTCATCATTCGGACATTAGGTAGTTCCTGCTTTTTGGTTGTTATGAATAATGTTGCTATGAACATTTATGATGTACAAGTTTTTGTTGAACATATGTTTTAATTTCTCTTGGATATATCCCTGGAAGTGGAATTGTTGGGGTATGTGATCACTTTATGTTTTGTTTGAGGAAGTGACAAACTTTTCCAAAACAGCTGAACCATTTGTAATCCTACTGGCAGTGTATGAGGGTTCCAGTTCCTCCACATCCTTGTCAATACCAGTTACTATCTTTTTAATTATAGCCATCCTAGTGGGTATGCTATGGTAGCTCCTTGTATCTCATCTCATTGTGAGCATCTTTTTAAGTGCTTCTTGGCCATTTGTGTATCTTCTTTGGATAAATGTCTTTTCAGATCTTTGCTCATTTTTGAGTTGGATTATTTGTATTTTTATTACTGAGTTGAAAAAATACCTTATGTATTCTAGAATCAAGTCCCTCTTCTCAGCTTTTGAATATATGTAAAATTTCCCAGGTGAGAAGCACTCCCATTTGTCCTCTTAAGTTGTCGTTCATATGTTCATTCCACAGATTGTAGTGGAGCACCTACTATGTACTAGTCCTTATGCTGGAAGCTGTGGCTATAGAATGATTAAGACATGCAGAATCCCTCAACCCTGGAGCTTGTAGGCTGGTACAGGAGACAGACAATGAACCAGTAACTATAATGGTGCTGACATCCTTTGAAGAGAATTACAGGAGACAGTGAGTGTGTATAACAGGAGGACCTGAGGTCTTGGAAATCAAGGGCCATTCTTCTGAGGAAGGCATGTTTGAGCTGAGTCCTAACAAATGGTTTGGAGTTAGTGCAGGAAGGGAGAGGTCTAGGCAAGAAAGTGTTCTAGGTGGAGGAGACACTATATGCCAGTGCCTTGGGTGGAAAGAACATGACATTTGAAGGACTGATAGAAGGTCAGTGTGGCTGAAGATCCAGCTGAAGTGGGAGAGAAACATTAACTCAGCTGTAGGTTGTACAGGGCTTTGTAGCTGTGGAAGGACTTTGACCTTTGTTGTAAGGGAACTGGGAAACAGTTATAATGGCTTTAAGCAGAAGAGAGAAATGATAGATTGCCTTTTTTTGTTGCAGTCTGGAGAGCAGGTAGAGAGCGCAAGAGTGAATGTGGCCTACGTGAGAGTTACCAGTGGCTTGGGGTTGGATGGTGGAATTGAGAAGAGTGGAAAGAATTGAGAGATCATTTGGGAGGTAGAATTAATGGAACCTGGTGAATGATGAAAATGGTTGATGAGAATAAAGGGATGTTTCAAAGATCATTCCCAGATTTCTAGGTTGTGCAGTAATGGAATGATTCACCAAGAATGGGGAATGTTGAAGTAGCACAGCTTTAGGGATGGGGAATGGAGTTGAAACATTGAGTTTTCAGTTGACTTTGAAGTACCTATGAGCCATCACAAACGAAGATGTCTAGGATAGGCAGGTTGAGCGCTCTTAGCCTAGGAAATGCCCATTGAGTTTACTGCTCCAGTAGTCACTGAAGACTTTTGTAAGGGGTAGATCTTGTCAACTAGCAGGGGTGGCAGACAGATTGGCTTAGATTGAGGACTGAGTAGAAAGTGAAGAAATAGTAAGATAACCAAAACCAAACCAATCTCACTCCCATTGAGTCAATTCCAACTCATAATGGCCTTCATCGGGTTTCCAAGACTGTAGATCTTTATGGAAGCAGACTGCTTCATCTTTCTAACATGGAGCAGCTGGTGGGTTTGAACTGCTGACCTTTTGGTTATCAGCCAAATATTTTGACCACTGCACCACCAGAGCTCCTTAGTAAGAGAAAGAGCAAGCAAATGTTTCCCGGAAGATTGTATTGGGAAAAGGATTATGTTGGAAAAAAGATGGGGGATGCAAGCAGGTCATGTGCTTGGTTGGAGTTTCAAGTCCATCCAGAAGGACCTCTGAAGAAAAGACTGGTGATCTACTTTTAAAAAATCAGCCATTGAAAACCGTATGGAACACAGTTCTATTCTGACACATGTGGGTTGCTGTGAGTTGGAGTTGACTTGATTTGATGACACATGTTGAGCACTTGGAATGGCCAGAGAAACGGTGGACCAGGGCCAAGAGAATCCTAAGGAGGAGAAACTTGGTAGTTGTCAGTCATAGGAGGAGTCTGCCAAGACACAAACTCTGGGCTTGGGGATAAGCATAGATGCCATTATAGGAGCCAGAAGTCGGCAGCCAGTGTGAATCCTGCTTTATGTGGTTCGCATCAATGTTGACTGTGCAACCAAAGGTAGTATACTCATTGTTGTATACATGTATGTTTTCAGGATGCTAAGAAATCTCGCCTGCCGATCCTGATAAAACCATCCCGGTCATTAGGAAATATGGGTCAGCTCTCTGCCACCCAGGAGGTGGTGGCCCAGCTGCAGGGCCAGGTCATGGAGCTGCAGGGGGAACTGAAGGAGTTTAAAACTCGCAACAAACAACTTCACCAAAAGTTGATTCTGGCGGAAGCAATGATGGAGGGGAGGCCAACGCCGGACAAAATGCTGCTGACTGGTAAGCACAAAGAAAAACGTATTCTCCACGAGCTAGACTGTTGGAAATGTCAGCCTTGTTGTTTAGAATTGCAATAAGTTTGAGTATAAATTTCTTGAATTGCAGTGGTTAATCTTAACTCTTGATAAATATACAACAGAGGGAACATAATAGGGAAAACGAATCTATTGTTTTCATTTTATTCTGGAGTCTGGATAAAGGGGACTTGGGTGCTCACAGGTCTTGAAGGGCCACTGCTCCCTCGATTTGGCGTTATTTGCAGGTGCCCCGGTTGTGGCAAGACTTGAATCTGGGCCTTTTCTTGAGCTGAGTGTGTGGAAGCCTCAGTCTCTGCCGTCAGGAGCGTGCAGAGTCCTCTTCGCAGGGCTCTCTGGAGTGTCCCGGCAATATCGTTTGGGTTCCTGCAGGCTACTTACAGTCGCTACTGACCTTAGGTCTTCTTCCAGAAGTCACCTCCCTCCCACCTCCTACTTTGAATCTGCTGCCTTTCCTCTCCTGGGGCAAAGAAAATAGAGAGCCCTGGATTAAAGGGTATCTAGTCAGAATATACAGCCTGGGAGGGAGCCTCAGGAGGTGTTCTCTAGTCGAAACAGTGGAGCTCAGAGATCCTGTCAGAGTCTACGGAAAGCTGAGGGCCCTCTCAGAATAATGCAGGTAGCTAGCATTTTGCATCATTTTCAGAGGTTTGTGAATCCACAAAAGTATGTATGTTGACTCTGGATTTTGAACTACTGATGTAAGCAAATGCCCGCAACACACAAAAGCAAAAACAACAATAGTAATATTTATATATCATATTCAAATATTTATTTTAAGTGTCTTCCTGTGGGCCAAATAGCACCCTAGGCCTTGGTGAGATAAGAGTCAGCAACACAAAGTCTGTGTCTAGTTTACATTCTTGTGGGGAGAGAAAAATAATAAGCTGATATGCAAATAACGTGAGGTGATGATAAGTGCTGTGGAGAAAAATAAGACAGAGTTAAGGGCCTATGTAGTGTGGAACGGGGGCAGGCTTTGCTAACGCATACAGAATGTCAGCCTCACTGAGGAGGTGACATTTGGAGACTGGGGAGGGAAGTGTTTAGGGGAAGGTGAACAGAGTAGTCATCATCTTGGGAAGGGTGTTCCTGGCAGAGGGAACAGCAGGGATAAGGGCTCTGATGGTGCTTTGAACTTGGGATGTTAGATAACAGAGTGAAGTGAGAAGTAGGGAGTTGGAGAAGATGAGATATGGGAGGTAGCCGAATATAGGGCTTCACAGAACACCTGGGGCTTTGTCTCTTACTCTAAGATTGGGAACTATTGGGTGATTTTGAGCAGAGGAGTTACATAATCCAACTTATGCTTTAAAGCAGTGGTTGGCGAATTATGATGTTTGGGTCAAATCCAGCTTGTGGCCTCTTTTTATAAATAAAGTTTTATTGGAACCTAGCCAGACATTTACATATGGTCTGTGACTGCTTTTATGCTGTGATGGCAGAGTTGAATGGTTGTGAGAAACACGTTATGGTCCACAAAGCCTAAAATAATTATTATCTGGCCCTTCCAGAAAAGTAGCTGACCCCTGCTTTAAAGAAACACTTTTAATGTGAACAGTTGGAAGAGTGGAGTTGTCATACACTGAAGTGGGAAACACTGCAAGAGAAGCAGGCTTGGGAGGACTTTAGAGTTTGGACTTATTTGAGGCAGTTGGGGATGGATGAGTCTGGGGTAGAGGGTAGAGGTCTGGGCTAGCGATAGAAACTTAGGAAATATTAACATACAGCTATTTAGAGATAGATGACTTGGAGACACAGAGGCTGGGGATATATAGAGAAGAGAAGAGGTCCCAGTGCTGAGCTGTGGGCTCTCCAGCAGTTAGAGGTTGGACTGACAGGGAACAGCCAGGGGGGTAGGAGGGGAACGAAGGGAGAAAGATGTCGTAAAGCTGAGTGAAGAAGTGACCAGTGACTAATTAGCTGTGTACAATACTGCTAATGAGACAAGTAAGGCAAGGACTGAGGTTTGGTCATTGGACTCATCAATGTGGAATTCACTGGTGACCTTGAAGGGAGTGGCTTCAGTGGTATGAGCAGGGCTTGATTGGCAGGGGTTCGAGAGAATGGAGGAGAGGATTTGGAAATGCCAAGAAGAGTCAGCTCTGAGGAGCTGAACCACAAAGAGAAGTAGGGCAGTTGGGAGCCAAATCACCAGTGAATCTGAAGGACTTCAGTGAATTTCAAGACTGAGGCTGACTTCAGTGAGGTGGGTAGAGTCCAAGGATGTGTGCATCAGAGCTGGAGTTCTTAGGGAAAGACAGAATGACCTGGCAGTGAGGAGCAAGGATGCGTACACACTTGCCAGGCCCAGGCTATAAGGAATGCAGGAAAGAAACAGGCATGGCTGTGAAGGCTGCAGGCATAGTGTCCTCAGGGGATGGCCTGGTTCACTTAGAATGAGAGGGTGGGATGAATGTTCAGAGAAGACCTTGAGGTTATTTGGGGTTTTTCCAGTGGAGGGTGTGAGTACCAGGTGGCAGATTCTCTCAGATTGGAGAATTTCCAGAGTGATTCAGGGATGGGAGATGACTTGGGAGCCTTGGGCTTCGGGTGGTAATGTTAAAATGAGCAGCTATTATTTTTTGGACCTTAATATATTCCAAATATTTTAGATACATGATCTAATTGGATCCATCCAATGGTCCTTTGAGGCAGGTACAGTAATTAGGCCTATTTTATAGTTGTGATAAAAGTGACTTCTCTACCGTCACACTGTTACTAACAGGTTAGATTTGAACCAGCCCGATTTCAAAGCCTGTGCTCTTTCCTGGTTCCTGAAGCCTGGTCATGGTGCTTTGTATGTGGATTTCATGGTGCTCTGTCGCCAGAGGTGTTTTCCATTTAATTCAGGGTCCCTTGCATTCACACCATTCAGGTTCAGGATAACTTGGCCTTGGGCAGCATTGCTCTTCCTTCCTTCCCCACCTTCATTCATCCATCCATCTAGGCATCTATTCATGCGTTCAGAGATCATTTCCTGGGCCCCTGCTGTGTCCCCAGCCCCTTGCAAATAATTTAAAGGAAACAGTGCTAGGACCTTCAGAGAAGGAAGGTTTTATGGTGAAAGTGACTCAGCCACAGTCTTGCTCTTTGTGTTCAATACTGAGGTTATTTCTTGCTGAGACACCAGGGTGCCTCAGCCACGTGCTAGTTCCACAGAAACCTCTGGGGCCTCTCTCCTTGGAAAAGTGGGTGCAAGTCTCGAGAATTCATTTTCTCACTCATAGTTTTTGGAGGGCCTGGACTTAACCCATTTGAGACAAGCTGCAGTGTATATTTATGCTTTTTATGTCCTGTTATGGCAGCTTGATAGATTAATTTTATCTTACAAATTGCATTTTGCCTCCCAAGTGTTTTTATTTTCCCTGTTGTATCTTTGTGTTCTTCTCAGTTGCTTGGCCAAGTTTCAAGTCTATGGTTTTATTTATTTTTTGTTCTCTTTCCAAATGCCTGTAGCCCAGCCATTTGTGGAAGTATCCTACCAGGGTTGCCCAGGAGAGCAAAATGGAATTAAGACCACATCCCAGGTCTGGAGAGACAAAGAAATGGACAGTGATCAGCAAACAAGCTACGAGACTGGTCAGAATCCAACCCTGATGTGTACTGACAGTTACTATGTCCAGGCACTGTTCGGGATGCTTTATGTAAATTGTTCCTAAACCTCACAGCTCACTCAGGTCTTCATCATTTTCCCTATTTAACACATGATGAAGCTGAACTTTGTTAAAATCATTGACCAGGGTCACCCTCCTGGTAAGTAGGTGAAAGAGTCAGGACACAGTAGCTTTTTTTTTGAGCCTATCAATCCATTTGGTAGACACTATTCCACCAGGCAGTGGGCTGGGGTCTGGTGATTCAGCCTGAGACGACAAAGTCCCTGCCTTCAAGGAATCTCAAGACCTCAGAGCCAGTCTTCCCAGCGGTCAGTTCATATCCAGCATACTGCTGGCCGTTGTGCTGTGTGTGAAGGTGGCCTCTGGGGAGGAGTGGGTCAGAGGAGAGCCTTTGGTGTGTGCCTTGTGAGCAGAGAGACCATGGTGGACTAAAGCCACGAGCAGGTTGCAGATCCAGAAATCAAGACATGCAGTCTTCTGATGTGGGATTGTTGGGTAGTTGCCTTTCTGAGAGAGCTGTGAGTCATCTAGTCTAACCCCCCTCGTTGCATTTGCAGCATTTCCCCACATCCACAGCCTTCCTGGGCATACCTCCAGTAACAGGTGTCCCCTTCCTCTTGGTGCAGTGGTAGGAGAAGCAGAGCATGCTGGTTTAGTTGGGCTCCTTCACTGCTAGTGTGCCGGACACTATGTTGCCATTTTACAAATATTATCCTGTTTGATCCTAAAAACAAACACAAAGCCCTTTACAGTGAATGATGTTCTCTCCATGATACAAAAAAAATGACTGAGGCTTAGACAGAAGTTAAGTGACCTGCCTGAGGTCATGCAGCTACTAAAGTGGCAGAGCCAGAGTTTGAAACCAGGTCTGGTGGATTTCAAAGATGGATTTTTCTACTACCTTCTGCTCCCTTCTAAGTATTTACCCACTGGTGGCATAGTGCCTAAGGCATTTGACTGCTAACCAGAAGGCTGGCAGTTCAAACCCACCAGCCACTCCTCGGAACGATGATGGGGCAATCTACTTCTATAGTGATCCTGCCTCAGAAACCCGAGGAGGGGTTGCTGTGAGTCAAAATTGACTCGACAGCAGTGAGTTTGGTTTTGGTTTTATATTGAACTGAAGGAGCTCTGATGGTGCAGTGTTTAAAGCATTCAGCTGTTCACGCAAAAGCTCAGCAGCCACTCTGTGGGGGAAAGATGAGGCTGTCTGCTTCCATAAAGATTTACAGCCTTGGAAACCCAGTGCGGCAGTTCTGCTGTGTCCTATAGGGTCATTATGAGTCAGAATTGACTCGTGACAGTGGGTTTGTTTTTTTTTTGGTACATTGAGCTGAGCTCTCTCCATGGGCAGCAGGTGACGTGGTATAGTGGTTAAGGACAGAAACTGTGGAGTTGGGCCTGAGCTTGGAACCTCATAGCAACTGTATTAGACATTTCTTTCCTCATTTTACACACAGGGGAAGCCGAGGCTCTGGGATAATAAGTTATTTGCCAATGACAGTAAGTGGTAAAGCTGGGATTCCCTTTCTCTTTGACCCCAAAGCTATATATCTTGTTTCGCCATACCACTCTGTCTCTCAGTCAAGAGTGGCTGTATCTCTGAAGGTTTAAGCTAGCTCTGAGGGAATATTTCCTTGCATGGTTGAGTCAGTCAAAGAGCTTATGAAGGGCGATGTTACAGCATCTTGTGGAAAGTGATAGACATGGAGATGAGAAGATGACTCTCACCTCTCGTGGATGTTTAGAATCACTGCTTTGTAAGGTTGTGGCATTCAGTCCATTCTGAGCTGGGCTAGGTACTATACCAGCACCAAGAATGTGGGGATAAAAGGGCAGGTCCCTGCTGTGAAGGAGCTTGCAGGCCAGCAAGGGAGTGAGGCATCCACATAACTGTTATGTAAATAAATAAATAAGCCAGTTGTAATGGCTGTGTTTGCACGCAAGACACGGCACATTTGTCAGGGATAGTGTGTGTAGGTGCTGTGGAAGCGCATCGGGGAGTAACTGTTTTGTGTAGTTTGGAGGTGGCTTGGCAGAGGAAAGGCTATGGATCTGGGTGTGGGAGGATGAGTTCATCATGTAGAAAAGAGGACTGAGAGTATTCCAGGCAGAGGGAATAGCACTTGCAAAAACATGGAGGCATGGAACACCATGGTATGTGCAGAGGGCTGTGTAGAAGCTCTCCATGGGTGTTGCTAGGTGTTACTGGAAAGGTTGCATGGAACTAGGTCAGGGGGAGTTTCAGGTGCTGTGTTAGGGAGTTTGGATTTGATTCTCAAGATAGGGAGTAATTGACAAGCTTCAGATGGGAGACTATCAGGGTTAAATTCACTTTTTAGAACCGTTACTCTGAGGAAGAAGATGCATTGAGGGGTAAGGGGGAAAGACTGGAGTCAGGGAAACTGGTTAGAAGGCTGTTGAGTGGTCCCCACTTAGCTGTGAGGTTGGAGAGAGGGAGTGGATTTCAGCACAGGAGACACTGACGTGAAGGTTTTTGATTTTCAGACTCTGAGATTTACCAGTCTGATGACCTCGCCATCTTGCCAGCGTGCCAAGAGAATCCTTCCGAAGATTTTCTGGGCACAACTTCAGTAGCTACTCACGTGAGTTCTAAGAGTCCGCTTTCTGTTCATGTCAGCGTGATTGAGACGGATCAGTCTGAGAACGTCGATACATCAAATGATACAGAATACCTGAGACAGAAAATCCGTGACTTAGAGAGTGAGCTGAAGGGCTACCAGAACTTCGTATTTGAGCTTCAGTCAGGGAAGCAGTCCCAGTGCAGTGAGGCCGTCATCACCGTTTTGTGCAGGACAGAAGGGGCCCGGGAAGGCTTGAGCAAGCAAAAGAGCAATACTGATGACGAGGAAATGAGCTTCTCAAGTTTGCACCAAGTACGTTATGTGAAACACATGAAAATTCTTCATCCACTGGCCCCAGAAATGATTGACGGTGGGGTGTTGGAGAGCCTCAGACAGCAGCTGGTGGAACAGGAATATGAACTGCAGAAGGAGCAGAATTTGAACATGGAGCTATTCAGTGAAGTCTGTAGCCTGCAGAATAAGAATAAGATCAGAGATCTCTCACCTTCCAGGTACGTCCCACCTCTGCCTTATCCTCCTATTTAGGCCTACAGTTCCCTCTGCTGCCACTAGGTTGGAGCCCATGAACTAAAAGGAAATGCTGCTCTGTGATGGGGGTGAGTGTGTACACGGGAAGGCTTGATAGTGACGTTAAGGCAGGCAGGCCCTGCCTGCGGAGAGGCAAACGTGAAGCCACAAAGAACAGTGCCTCAGTGCCTGGGCACATGACCATCGGGTCCTAGTCCTGTGTCCTGTGAATTAGTAGAGCAGGGTTGGCCCTTTTGAGGTTGGGGACTTGGGGTAAAGGTTTTTTCATGCCAGTCACTTGGTGGGTTACAGTGTACTTGCTGAACTGTGATGGTGACTCCTGGACTCCATTACTGGTTTTTGCTGTGCTGTGAAGCTGAAACTGACGTGTCCTACGCAGAGTGGGGGGGAGTGTAAATATTTCCCTATCTTTACCCTTTAAAGTCATCTTGGAGAAATAAGCCCATATTGAAAGAGAAGAATTCTTAGGTCATGCAGATATGTTTTATGGCCATAGATATATACAGTTTTGTTTCATGAGATACAGCAAAAAAGGGATCATTTGTAAAGTTGACCTTCGTTTGTTGCCAATTCAAGACAAACACATTTTTCTGGCATTGTCAGGAGTCAGAGTGAATTTTTCAAGACCCCTAAGCAGTGAAATCGAAGCTAGCTTGCATTTATTGAAAGTCTGCTGTGTCAGGCCCCCAGCTAGGCACTTTGCTTCCTTGATCCCCAAAATCACCCTGAGAAGGTGTTCTCAAACTTGTTTTTGCAGGTAAGGAAGTGACCCTTAGAGAGGTTACTGTGACTTGTCTGAGATCAGTCTTAGCTACTGCTGGGGTTCAAGTCCCCAATGTCCCCACTAGTACTCAGGTTCTTTCTCTTCCATTAAGCCAGCCCCACCTTCAATGTTGCTGTCACATGATTTGTATGTGCATCCTGGGGTCAAGGGTGATCACCACTTCTGGGGAGGGATACCGCACTGCCCTGAAAGGTCAGTGGCTTTGGTAGGCCGCTCTCTGGGACCCAGTTTGCTGTGGCCACAGTTTCTATGAGCCATGCTTTCTTTAGCCTTGTTTTTCTCACTGTCTTCTGATAGTTGTAGGAAAAGACCGCATAGAGTGGTCAGGAAGTAGGATTGCGTAACAGGATTGCTTTGAACTCAGAGTTGTGTTTGAATCTGGCATCTTCACCCCTTAGCTAGCTTTGTGATCTCTGAGAGTCAGTGTCCTCCGTTTTAAAAGGGGAAGTTCCTACGTTTGTCGGAAGACTGGAGGATCAGCTAACATGTAAAGCACTTGATTCTGTGCCTGGCGGTTGTGGACCTCAGTAAATGGTTATGACGGTTATGATTATTTCCTGACCTTGGAGTTGAGGGGAAAGAGTCCTGTCCTTGTTTTCCTGCCTTACAGTTTCTCTTTTTTGTGCGTTGTGAGAATTTGTGGTGGGTCCCTGACCCTGGGGGCTCTTGTTTCTATAATTCAGAATGGTATTTTTGAAGAGTGTATGAAAACTAATCTTTCTGCGGAGTCCTTGCCAATCCGTATTATAATTGGGGGCTTTATAAGGTTAAAAATACTGTAGAAGAACCTTTGTTCCAGCATTTGTTGGCTGTTTTGAAATAAAAAAAGTAGTAACCTTGTACAGTTTCAATTTTTCTAAAAGTATATATACTTGTACAGCTTCAGGCTTTTAAAAATGGTGCTCTGTCATTTTTCCAATTAGCGTAAGGTCACAGAAATTCGAGTCTGAAATGGTACAAGCGTTTTCTCTATTCCTCTTTTATCAGCTACAATTCATTAGTTCAGTCCCAAGCCAGGGAGCTCACCCTTCAACGACAGCAGATTAAGGACAGCCACGGCATCTGTGTCATTTATCGTCAACATATGAACACCTTGATGAAGGCATTCAGGGAGTTGCTCCAGGCCAGCGATGTGGACTGCTGTCTGGCGGAGGGTTTCCAGGAGCAGCTGAATCAATGCGCTGAACTGGTGGAGAAATTGGAAAAGTTGTTTCTCAACGGTAAGCGGGACGAGGTGCTGCGTGTTGTACGTCACACCAGTAATCGGCCCAGTACTTCTCGGTGTGGTAAAGGAGGAATGACTCCTTGGTCTGCTTCACTGTCCTCTCCTCCCCGACGAGAGGACGGCAGAACCCCACCGACTGCTCTTCCCTCCAGTGACCAACTCCATGTGGTTTGTAGTCTGCCCTGCTCTAAACCAGGGGTTCCGTCTAGATGACCTACTCGAGGACTCAGAACCACGTGGTTTCTAGTCTTGAGGCTTTTCAAGAGAAGATGGAAATCTGATTTTTCTGTGTGAAAACTCAGGAGTTTTAAATGTTAGTAATCAAGTTAAAACAAAGACAAACTTTTATTGTTAAAAAAATATATCCAAGGGTCAGAGGTGGCCTGTTATCTCTACTTTAAGAGAAAAGATCAAAGGAAACATTTATTGGACGTCCACTGTGTGCCAAGCACTTTAATACATGTTGTTCTATTACAAATTGTAAAAATGGAATTTGCAAGTTTTCGAGACTACAACAAAGAACTCCCATCTACCTTTTACTCAGGCTTCCACAGTTGTTAGCATTTGCAGCGTGTGCTTTGGCATTCTCTCTCTCTCTCTCTCTCTCTCTCTCTCTCACACACACACACACACATACACACACACACACAGTTGCTATGATTCTGAGCTCAATGAGGGTGGATTGATGGCATTGTGCTTCTTCGTTGCTTTGATACTTCATCATATATGGTTCCTTGAACAAGGATACTTTCTTACATAACCGCAGTACAATGATCAAACTCAGGAAATTGTATTATTTAGTATGTGATTATCTAATATACAGTCTGTATTCAGATTTCCCTAATTGTTTTCAGTAATGTGTTTATGACAGTCGTATTTCTGATAAGATCTAGGATTTGGTCCCCATATTACATTCGGTTTGGTCCTTGCTTTCCTTTAGTCTGGAACAGTTCCTCACCCTTTCTTTGTCTTTCATGACTTTGACATATTTGAAGAGGTCAGGCCAGCCCCTCAGTTGGGAATATCTTGCTTCCTCACAATTAGATTTAGATTATGTAGTCTGGGCAGGAATATTGCATTAAGGGATGCTGTTTGTTGGTGTGTCATGTTGAGGAAGCCCATGATAACAGTTTGCCCCGTTTTTGATGGTAGTGACTTTGGTCATTTGGTTACGATGATGGCTTTCAGGTTTCCCCATTGTAAACTATTGTATTTCCCTGTGTAAAGGATAAGCAGTTAGAGAGGGATAACTGCGCTCTGTGAACGCTCAGGCCCTCAAGCAACTTTGGCTTGAACGTTTCACCATCTATTGATGATTGTTGCTTGAGCCAGTTCCTACTATGACGATGGCAACGTGGTGATTTGTTTTTCTGACGCCATCATACCTTCTTCATCAATGAGGTGGCGTCTTCTTTAAGGACTAGTTCTCCCTTTATCACCCCCTTCTATGTATGTATTTATTTTTGTTAGTTTATTATCAGTATAGACTTACAGATTCTAATTTTTTTCACTGAGCTGTTATCCATTACTTTCATTCATATGGGTGCTCAAGGTGTCCTGTATTTGGCAAGTGACAGATCGTTTTGACATGTCTCCATCTTTTCGCGAGCACTTCCTTACTCTCTGGCACAAAAAGATGTTCCAGGCTTATCTTGTACTGTTCCTGTCCCAGTCCTGAATCAGCCTTTTCTCTAAGTAGCCCTGCTTCCTTGTAGTGGGGAGTGGTATTTAAAAACCAATATTTGGTGCTGGTCTTGTTCATTATTACTAGGGTATCATTGTTTCTAGGGCCCTTTAGCAGACTAAACTAGGATATGCAGTAAAACTTGTGAAAGCTGGAACCTGTGTGAGGCAGAAACCTGTCAGAGAAGGAAAACTCAAGTATTTTCCACTAATAACAATAGACAATTAGTAAGGCTGTTACCTTGTCAAAGGCAGAAAACTTGTGAGTTCCAGAAAGGCAAGGCAATCCCAGTGAGTTCTCACAGGTTTCATTTATATATACATATATATAAATAATTTATTTTTAAAAATTATCACTTCACACTGATCCGAGTCTAGTCTAAACCTGCTGTAAACATACTGGGTTCTTTTCTTTCTTTCTTTCTTTTTTTTAACTGTGGCAAGTATCTCTGTGTCTAATGAAACATTTGCAAGTTCAAGTTTTTACATGTACATTTCAGTGGCACTAACAGTGTTCATTATTTTGTACGGCCATCACCACTATCCATTTCAAAATTTTTCCCTCACCCATGGGTTCTTCTTCCTTTCCCCATCCTGTATCTGTAGGTTCTTGCCGGCAGTGAGAGCCCTGGCTCTATCGGTGTCAGTACAGCCACGCATGTGCTCAGTTCCAAAGGCCACACGAATCGTCCCAGGGTCGTTCCCCCATGTACCACTGTGAAAGAAGCCATGGAAGAGCTTGAGGTTTTTCAGTTTTTAGGCTAAATGTATAGTCTGGCACTGAATTTAAAATTTACTTGATTTAGTTTTGTTTTATTCCCTGTAATGTTGCCATGTTATTTATTTCAAATATAATTATATTTGTTTTTGTTTGTACTCAATTTTAGAGTTCTTCTTATCCTTGTTAATTTAATTTTTTGAATCATTAATGTGGTTCCAAAGTCAAAACTTTTCTCCTTTTAAATTGCTTCTGTGAAGTCATTTTTTCATTCCCCTTCTTTATATCCATTATTATTACTTTTTAGTCCTTCTTTCTCTCTTAAATTAATTGGAGTTGGGCTTTTAATCATTCCAGCCACTCCACTGAAATGGCATTTTCCTGAGTCACCAATAACTTCCATTTCAGTAAATCCAGCGATTAATTCTCAGTCTTCGCCTTACTCAAACTCACAGTAGTATTTGACATGTTGACTCCTCCCTCCTTGTGGAAATGCTTTCCTTACTTGGCCCCTGGGTAGCACGCAGCCTTCCCTCCAGTTCTCCTCCCACCTCCTCCTCTGAAGCTCAACCTTCAAAAGATACTCCACATCTGATCACATTTTCACTACCTCATCACTCGTAGGTCTAATTTGCCCCATCACCTTGCCTAGATCCTTGCAGCAGCCTCCTGTTTGCCCTCCGCGCATCCACCCTGGTCCCACTGCAGTCCATTCTCACGCAATAATCAGAGTAGTCTTTTTAAAATATAGGTCAGATCATGTTCCTTCCCGACGCAAAAACGAAGGGGCTCCTTTTCACTCAGGGTGAACGCGTAGGCCCCTGCCGCCTCTCTGACTTCATTTCCTGCCCCTTCACTGCTTCTCCTCTGCATCAGCTGTAGATCAGAGGCCTTGTGGTGTCCTGATCATGCTCAAGCATGACCTCAGGTCATTGTACTTTGTCTTCTCTCTGATGTATCCATCCTACCTTCCTGCAGGTCTTTCCTCAAATTTCTCAAATGTCATCATATCAGGGAACCTCTGACAGCTATGTGAGATAGCCAGCCACCCCGTGCCGTCTCTGGCATGCTCTTTCCCACTCTCTTCTCTAATCGACTTGCGCATCTCATATATTACATATTTACTTACTTGTTTTCCTGGCCCTCCACTTCCCTAGAAAGTAAGCCCCATGAGGGTGTCTGATGTGTTTGTTACTGTGGTTCTGGGACATATACGATACCTGGTAGGTTCATAGACACTCTACATACCTTTTGAGAGAATGAATGAATAAATCCCAGTCTTACAGTTGTGATTTTGGCTCAGTGAGATTTGGAAACTCATCTGTGACCATATGTCGAGTGAGTAGTTGAGCTGGGATTTCAAAGCAGGTCTGTGGACAACACCTCTTTCCACCAAGTCTACATGTATTCACTTGGTATTACATATGTTATTTGATTTAAACCTCCAGTGACCTAGGAAATGTCACTTGCTTGTCTAAATGAGTGGGCCTGGCAATGAGAGTGCAGTCTTTGGAGTTGGGCTGCCTGAATTAAGGCTGTGGTTCCCCTACTTTCAGCCGTGCCTCTTGGGAAATGAACTTAACTCCTGGCCTCAGTTTCTTCACCAGTAAAATCAGCATTCTGATACCTTGGCTCAGGGCTTGGTGCACGGCTCTTGCACACTGAGTGCTCACTAGTATTTGCACTTGGCTGTGAGGTGGGGGTTTTCAGACATGCTAGTTTATTAATCTTCAGGACAACTTGCTTTACAGGTGAGAGAACTTAGCCTTAGCAAAGGAAAAGTAAATTGCTCAAAGTTACAACTGACTTGGCAGACCCAGAATTTGACGTCAGTTCTTCTGTCTTCATATATATAAAACAGATGGTTCATGGGGGGGGGGGGGTCTACATATGTTCAGTTAAGTTCCAAGATAGAATGTGGGGCAGTTTGGCCTTCTGGGCCAAGGCAATGTTTTTTCCAAATGGCCTAATAGCTTAAGCTGTGAGCATCATTTAGTAACTAGGACAGAAACCCATTGTAGACTGCTTTTCTGTATATCCCAGAACCTTTGGGAGCCAGAACATAGGATCCCTTGACTTTTCCCAGCTTTATAAAAATCCACTGTATTCTGGCTAACTTTTCCCATGTAAGCTCGTTTTCATTTTTTAGTGTAGAAATAACTAAGTCCTCTAGGTAGAGCTGTATCTTCCAGGCCCGAGGGATTTTCCATCTGTCTCTTCATAGGAATCCTCAACCTGGGTCCTAGGAAGTGGGAGGCTGAGAGCAAGTGCCTCTGGTATCAGCTCCCCTCCCTCTCTTCTCCAGCCAGCCCCCTGCATTTATTTTTTCGTTACTTACCTTGACAAGTCCACGGAGATCCTACTCCTTATTTCCTGTGGATTCTGATATTAGAATCGATTCAGACTTTGCAGACAACACAAACATAGAACTTTATTTCTTCTTTCTACAAAAGGTAGAAAAACCCAGAAGCTCACCACAGCATTTTTTGTTAGAGAATAAAGTGTAATACCGAGGAGGGGTCTTCTTGGGTGCTTCCAAGACTCTATGGAAGAATCTTTGTCAAAAGGGGGGAAATTGTGAAGTGAACTTTCTC